AAACTTCAAATTGCTCTCCTGCAAAGTTGCATAAATGTCGCTTAAGTTAAATAAAGTTTCACCCTTCGTCGCCACGCCAGCAATCGACTTTACGTGAAACTATAGATGTATCACATCAAAAGAACATACTATTGTGGTAAGGACCTGATTACTGACTGAAGGCGGATGATAGGCGATTGCATGCAGCAGAGATGGGAATGTTGCGATGGATGTGTGGAGTAACGAGAATGGATAGAATACGGAATGAATAAATTAGAGGAAGTCGGAAAACGGTATCTGTGACAGAGAAGCTGAAAAGTGCGCGTTTGGGATGGTATGGACATGTGATGAGACGAAATGAATGTGGAAGGATATAGAGGAAGAGGTAGACCTAAGAAGAAACAGATGGATTGCGTGAAAGACAATATATGTGGGAGAGGAGTGAGCGAAGAAATCGTATATGATAGAGGAGTATGGAAGGACAAAACATGTTGCGCCAACCCCAGGTGACTGGGAGAAGGGAAGGAGAATGATGATTGTGGTAAGGACCTTCTATTTTTTTGAATTTTCGTAGTAAACTTGGTATTAGCTCGCGCGTACAGGCGCTACAATCCTGCCTATTACATCTGAGGCAATCTTGCCCCATCCCGAAATATAACTCCGAGGGCACGTCTTAATGCAAGCGATGCGACGGTGGCGTCAGACCCAAAAGCTAACCAACAAAAAATTAATAATACAAATCGAAAACGTAAATGAGGTTTTTAAAATTCCGTAGCGATACACATGACGCGCATCGTCAGGTAAGAATATTTTAATTGTAACATGAACATTTTGGAGTGTCGATCAGTCGTCGGACCTAACTAAACACTTTGGAGCTCCGAGTGTCGAAGATCAAAAGGATTTGTTTAGCTTCATAATATTGCGGGGAGTACGTGACGTGCTCCGAACCATTCCGATCGAATTTTAGGGTTAAGTGTTTTGTTATCAAAATTACTTTTGCATTAATTCTTTTTCCCAACTATTCGCTGGTAGCTTGAGGGGTATTTCAGTTACACGCCGGTAGGTGAGCTCACGGGCTCGACCTGAAAGAATTTGCTAACACTAGCCCTAGCAAGAGTAGTGCTTCGCTGAATCTACCACCGGATCGGAATCGCGACCCACTGAAGCGATCCGGCGAGAAATTCATTTGGCATGCATATACTGGTGGTAGGACCTCTTGCGTGTACGCGCGGGTGGGTACCACCACCCTGCCTATTTCTACCGTGAAGCAGTAATGCGTTTCGGTTTGACGGGTGGGGCAGCCGTTGTAACTATACTTGAGACCTTAGAACTTGTCTCGGGGTGGGTGGCGCATTTACGTTGTAGATGTCTATGGGCTCCAGTAACCACTTAATACCAGGTGGGCTGTGAGCTCGTCCACCCATCTAAGCAATAAAAAAAAAGAAGCCTATACCGATAGAATACATTTGCATATCAGCTATGTAAGTTTCTGTCTGTTATAAGTAACAAGACGGATTTGTAGGAGCAAGTATGGAGTTTAAAGGATGTGAAAAACACAAAGCTTTATTATTAACTAGCGACCCGCCCTCGCTTCGCTTCGGAAACATAAAATTTTATTATTGATAGCTTAGTCCCGCGATGTTACCCGCGGTTATTGTCGTACCGCGGGTGATGCCGCGGGGCCAAGCTAGTCTAAAAAAAAATTTAAAATGTGGTGTCGTGGGACACCAGTTAGGAACGAAGTTCCTTCGGCTAATGTAGAATCGACACAATTTGCAAAAAAAACAGCAAAAAAGATAATCTAGAAAACCTTACAAAGATTTTAGTATGTACACACAATATTAACCAATGTAAAATATTTTATATTTATAAAAGAAAGAGAATGAATGAGAGAACGAAAAGAAATAGGGAGAAAGAGAAAGGTATTATCCACTACTCGCTTGTGTATGCGACTGTCGCGCCTGCGCACGTCTCATTTAACGATTTTATTCCACGCACTTTTTTCCACGGATTTTTTCTTACGGTTTTACTATCACATTTTTTTCAGTTCGGTCGCGCAGCAAAATCCCTATCCCCTCCAAGCCTGCCGTAAGGAACTTCGTTCCAAAAGTAGCCTAAGTTACTCCTTATATCATGAGCTACCTATTAGTGAAAGTGAAGAGATTAGCCGGAACAAACAAACAGACAGACAGACAAAAATTGTTCTAACACGACCTCAAAGTTACCGGTGTCAGGAACTGGACGGAGAATGCCCTCAACAGTCTGGAGAGAGATACTGGACCAGGCTAAGGCCCACTCTGTGCCGTGAGGCCTAAGATGATGATGATGTGTTATGGGGACCTGAGATGACATACCTACTTATATTAACTTTTAATATGAACATAATACAGATAATGAATATCCAGACAAAGAGAGACAGAGACAAACAACGCGCATTATACGAATGTTTGCCCGATGCGGGAATCGAACTTGCGACCCTCGGCGCTAAGCACTGCATCACCGAGTCAGGCAAATTTGGGAAGCACTGGCCCACGTATTAGTAGTATATGGAATATGGATCATCTATCCCGTGCTAACGAATAACGCTTCGACACTTAACCCAATAAATGAGCAATTAGTCAAGAATTAACACTAAAAAGATTGATGCTGCGACTTATGCGGGAACACGGCGGATTCGTCGTTGGTCCAAGTTAAAAGCTTTAGCGATTTATTTACATATTATTTTTTATTTCCCTTGTAGGCAGATAAACATAAAGCCCACCCGATATTGAGTGGCTACCGTCTCCCGTGGATTTTATCAATGCCAGGGACAGAGCCAAGCCGCTTCCTACCGTCTATTTATTTATTTATTAGTACAGCAGGTATAGCTAGAGTTTGTGAACGACGGCTACTGACCTTCACATGAGCATGAGCTCGTCTGGTTACAGCGGAATCAAATAGAAAGTCGGATGACCCAGCATATAATGCATGTCGGAAAAGCCACATTTATTAACACCATCGTCAGACATCTTAGGAGTAAATAGGGTGATCGAGCTAAGAGAAATATTTAGTATACCACTCACGTTTGTTTTCTTATAACAATTTAGAAATCTTCTCTAGACGTTAGCAAACGAAAACGAATGACAGTTCTTAGGACGGAAGCACCGCTCTTCAAGAAGGCCGGTTGGTAAATGTGATAGTGTCTACGCGCCTCCATAGGCTAGGCTCTGTCATGGCATGAAGTTAGCCGAATTCCGACGATATCGCAATCGTGCCGCCATCTCGCGGGAATCGTGCTGCGTTTCGTTTAGCTCCCAAACTAGTGGCCGACTCCGCCAAGCATTTCAATGGCTTTTAGTTGTGATATAGTTTAAGTTCAATGTTTGTCTTCCAAATAAAAAAATAAATAAGAAAGACTGCTGGTGTTAACCGTTTGAGACATGAGGTGGAATTCTTGATTATTTTCCCTATTTAATCACTGACAGCCTAAGGGGCTATTTCAACTACGCGCGGACAGGTAGGTGAGCTCACGGGCTCGACCTGACTGAATTTTCTAACACTAGCCCTAACAGGAGCAGTGTTACGCATCGTTATCGCCGGTTCGAAATCGCGACCCATTGAAAAGATTCGACGAGGAACTCAGTGGGCTTTATCTGTGAGGACCCATCCTTCAAATCGGAACGCCAAACTCCTCCGCCACGCGACAGCTCATGCTCCGGACCGCATCCCAACCCCGCACTCTTCGTGTGCGGTAAAAACGACCCGCGTGTCACTAAATCATTTATCAACGTGTCATTTTGAGGGATTTTTTCACTATTCGATTCAACTATTCAAGCCGCCCGTGTATTTGAATCCCATTATAACTCATTGGCTGTTTGAAACTGTGCCGGCTCCTTGTTAATAACTGGTGCTTTGTTAATGGTGGTAGGACCGCTTGTGAGTCCATACGGGTAGGTACCACCACCCCGCCTATTTCTGCCTCCAATTAATCTCCAGTGCAGTCGGTCATTTGCCCAATGCATCCAAGATGACCCAGCGATTTTCACTAGGTCCATCTGGTAGGTAGCCGTCCCAGATGTACTAGTCTCGTATTACTTATCATACTCATCGAGTGCTTTACACTTCGACGCGCAACTTGACCCATAGACTCAACCCACTGAGTTCCTCATCGGATCTTCTCAGTAGATCGCGATTCCGATCCAATGATACTGCAGCTCTTTGACTCTTTAAATCGATCTCTTCTTCTTTTTCTCCACCTTATCCTACTAGGTGTGGTCGGTACAGCTAATTTTCTCTTCCATTATCTTCTATCAGCCGTCATCTCAACACTCAGTCCTCTCTCTCTCATATCGTCATTCACACAATCCATCCATGTCTTCTTCGGTCGACCTCTTCCCCCTCTACCTCGCACTACCATTTCCATAAATCTCCTAGAAATCGATCGTAAGCTTAAATGATAGACGACTGGTATGCTTGTATGGAGGAACGCGACTGTGCCGGAGTTCGAATTCCGCATGCACCGATTTCTCTAATAAAATACCTAACTCATAGTCCGGTATTACTTTTGGAATACGAATAAATCATCGTCCAATAATAATCAGACCCGTAAAATGTATTAATTTGCGTAGGCAAGTTTGAAGAGTGGAAGCAGCTCTTACACAACACAGTAGCTTACTTCGAATTCACCCTCTTCATCCCTAAATGTGCTTATAATAAAAACATCCACTGAGTATTATTAAATTTTACAGTGTAAGTTGATGTAAATAATAATATGTACGTATTGTGTTGCTATTGTCTTTTTGTTTATGTAAACTTAAATTTCTAAATTTCTCTTTTTATTTGGTGGAAACAGGATTGGTTATTGTTTTAGCTAAAAAAAATTAATATTAGACATGTTTGTTTTGTACTGTTAGTTTCCCAAATAAATATTGGCTGCGACGTAATCCCGCTGTTCTGATATAAGAAGCCGTTGATTCGATTGACCCAACTCTTCGAGGTTGGTGCTGTCCAAAAGCCCTGCTGATAGTACAAAATCCACGTACCTGGTTGTGGTAATGGGCGAGGGGGTGGTGCGGGACATGCCGCATGGCAGGGTGCAACATGGTGCTCCTGCGATCGGTGCTACTCCCTTCTACCGCCTGCCGAAAAAAGAAAAAAGTGGTTACTGGAGCCCGTAGACTTCTACAACATAAAAGTCGTCACCTACCTCGAGACATGAATTCGAATTTTGAAGTCGACGTGGCCTAACGGATAAGACGTCCGATGCATTCGTGTTGAGCGATGCACCAGTGTTCGAATCTCAGGCGGGTACCAATTTTTCTATTGAAATACGTACTCAACAAATGTTCACGATTGACTTCCACGGTGAAGGAATAACATCGTGTAATAAAAATCAAACCCGCAAAATTATAATTTGCGTAATTACTGGTGGTAGGACCTCTTGTGAGTCCGCGCGGGTGGGTACCACCGCCCTGCCTATTTCTGCCGTGAAGCAGTAATGCGTTTCGGTTTGAAGGGTGGGGCAGCCGTTGTAACTATACTGAGGTCTGAGACCTTAGAACTTATATCTCAAGGTGGGTGGCGCATTGACGTTGTAGATGTCCATGGGCTCCAGTAACCACTTACCACCAGGTGGGCTGTGAGCTCGTCCACACATCTAAGCAAAAAAAAGACCACTATTTACCTCAGTGGGTTCATCTTTGGCTTCAGCCCCGTCTCCGAGTTCCACCAGCTGAAGCGCCTCCTCCAGCAGATCGAAACGCGACTCCTCGCCGCTCACCAGTTCCCTGGGCAGTTCTCCTTGGATCACGTATTCGCCTGAACGAAAAAACAAACAAAATTCAAATCCGATACATCATTGATAATACTAGGCAGATGTTTAACTATCCTTTTTCCACTACCTTCCCACCATCGTACCTACTTCTAGAAGCATAACGACCTATATCTCATCTGTGGAGAGGAGAGATAGGAGAGAAGGTACAGTGTTTAATGGATTTTTCTTGGAACGAAGTTCCTTATAGTACGATGCGGAGAGGTATCCTAACCGGGAAAAAACGTCCGTAACGTAAGATTTTTATTAGTAATGCACATAGTGTACGACTTAACTTTGTAATAACGTACAAAATAAAACATATTTTTATTATATATTTTTTATAAACCATTGTGAATAAAATAAAGTTGATAACTTTGTAAAGTAGTTTTATTTTATCTTTATCAATACCCGAATAATTATTTTCTTTATACCTCGAATAGAACTTAAAATTAATATTTTTATAATTAGGAACTTCGTCCTTATCCGGTGTTCCGCGACACCACACATCATTTTTTTTTCATTGCTTATATGGGTGGACAGGCTCACAACCCACCTGGTGTTAAGTGGTTACTGGAGCCCATATACATCTAAAACGTAAATGCGCCACCCACCTTTGAGATGTACTTAAGCTCTAAGGTCTCAAGTATAATTACAACGGCTGCCCCGCACTTCAAACCGAAACGCATTACTGCTTCACGACAGAAATAGGCAGGGCGGTGGTACCTACCCACGCGGACTCACAAGAAGTCCTACCACAAGTAATTACACCGCCAGTACATCATCATTTTATAAGCCTTTAGTAACTTGAATAGATATCTATACTCCCTTAAGATGACTAAGGCATTCCAGTATACATACAATAGAACAGAAAAGGGTTAGCTAGTGAACAGTCCAAGATCACAAGGCAGCGATTACAAGCCTGTGTATCTATCGCTTCTGTCGGATTCACATTTCGTCTATGGGATCTGCTGATGAGGCCAAAGAACAAAAGCAATCCATGCTAATATTATAAAGGTTTTTTTTATGATTGAAGCATTACTGGTGACCCGGAGGCCTTTCCAGTTTCACCAGGACAGTGGGGCGAGCATTGGCTCACAGCTACCCGAGCGCCTCCGAAGGAGACCTAACAACTCAAGAGCAGCTGCTTCGCGAATGAATCTACTACGGGATCGGAATCGTGAGCCGCTGAGAAGATCCGGCGAGAAACTCAGCGGGCTGATGCATTAGGGTTAGGTTGCACGTCAAACTCTTTGTCGAGTTCGACGAGTACGGTTACCGAGTTATAAAGGTGAAACTTGGAGTAAATTGCGCTCTACGGTGGTTGCCGAGCGCTATGACATGTCCTTCCTCTACGAATAGTAATTGTATTATTTATAGTAATACTTTGTTTGTTTGTGTGTTTTTTTTGTATGTTTGTCTGCACTTATTTCACATATAAACCAGGCAGGAAACTATCCGTATCTCTTGAAAAAACATCACATTCCTATGGCAAAAACTGTTTGTACTTTTTAGAAAAATTAATTGATACTTTTCCTTGACCGCGCGACCGAAGTCACGGTCAACAACCAGTATCCTATATACAGAAGAATACATGTATAATTTATGTTTCGACATGAAAAAGTTGAGGCGTCATCACACATCCTAATGGTCTATATATAGAATCTGTATTAAATATATCATTTAAGCGGAAAGTGGTCGCAAAAAAATATCTACATATAGAAGTAGCCCCTGATTGGTCAAGCGTGAAGGACAAGCCGACATGGCGCACGCTAAAATGGCGTGGTTTTTTTTGGCGCGAAACAATATGCCACGTTTTTTTATCTCTCTCTCGTATTTACAATGCCGGACGGAAAACTGCTAAATCGATTGACTATGGTTAAGGTTTTTTGCAACGTGTGTACCTAAATGAAGGGGAAAACTAAGGTTTTTACGAATAACGCGTCACGTTCGTTAGTTTTTTTGTTTGCTGTTCATATATGTATTGTATGTTGAATATAGAGAAAGAATGTTTTGATATCACTTAGACGCAGGGTTATCCTAGGCGGATCTTGTTTGTGGGTCGTGATTTCGATCTGGTGGTGGATTCTGCGAAGCACTACCCTTGTTAGAGCCAGTATTAGCAACCTCTCTCAGGGTGAGCCCCGTGAGGTCACCTACTTGTCAGCCAGAAGCCAAAATAGCCCCTTAGACTACTTGGACCCCTTAGACTAGAAATATATGTTAGGCAGCGGCTTAGTTTTGCCCCTAACACTGCTGAAGTCCATGGGCACCATCAAGTGGGCCGTATACTCGTCTGCCTACAAGGGTAATAAAAAAAAAAAGCGGGAAGGCGCTTCGGATTATATTGGACTGGACGTATTATCAAAGGGATAGGTAAGTCGCTCATCAAAATGCTCCGGTGACCGTTTTTCATCAATCAAACTTAGCATAGAAATAGGCACACCCAACACATTCTCCTTGCCATTATCTCCCATCGCGTAGGGAACTGGCACGATTAGAAAATATTTATAAATATTACTAGCTGACCCGACAGACTTCGTAGTGCCTCAATCGATAAATAAAATACCTATACTTTTATTTAAAATAAACTTAAAACAAACAAAAGGAATCCGTCCGACGGGGGACACATCAAAGGGAAAACAAAATTGTTATTTTATTTTATTCTGAGCATTTTCATATTTATCTACCTTTTAAGCCTTCTCTGGACTTCCACAAATAATTTAAAGCCAAAATTAACTAAATCGGTCGGGCCGTTCTCGAGTTTTAGCGAGACTAACGAACAGCAATTCATTTTTATTTATATAGATAGATTATGAAACGCACTCTCAACGGTGACGCCTAGAAAACACCACAATCCGTAGACACAAAATCGTGTGAATTCCGTAAGCATTTAAATAAAAAAAACCTTCGCACTGCCTCTACAGTTACGTGGAGCAAAAAATTGACACCCTGGCACCGAGCCACGCACACAAAGGAAGGATTATCGCCCGAAATTCACATTGTTTGTCCAGCAATTGTCGAATTACCCTCATTATATGGCGTCCGCGTGTTTTTTTTTGTTCAAGTGTTAAGCGGCTTAGCGTAAACTCGGAGTCGCCACTCGAAAGGGCAATTCGATCCTTAGCGTTGCCGCAAAATACCAAACTCGGAAGCCAAGCTGTTCATGAAAAAACTGCGCAATAATTTCTCAAAGGTAGGCAGCGGCTTGGCTCTGCCCCTGGCATTGCTGAAGTCCATGGGCGACGGTAACCACTCATCATCAGGTGGGCCGTATGCTCGTCTGCCTAGAAGGGCAATAAATAAAAAAACACTAGCTTGCGACATCAGCTCGCAACAAGACCTAATCAAATCTAACCTAGAAAGGGGGAATTCTGGAGATCAAGAATACTTCGAACCCAGTATAGACTTCAGCTCTTTCAAAGCCTAACAAAATGAATTTTAACGTTAATTTGTATTTATATTATTTATATTACACCTTTAAGAGAGAAAATACCGAAATATTACTAGTGGTTCTCCAGTAGTCGAAATTCGACTATAATTAATTGAAATTACAGGTTTGAACATTATTATGGTTCTATTGTCAAACACTGTTTTACTTATTTAATATAACCAGAGTTCTCGCCAAAACTACACTATAGATAGATAATATAAAAACGCGTTACTGCTTCACGGCAAAAATAGACAGGGTGGTGATACCTACACGTGCGGCCTCACAAGAGGTCCTACCACCAGTCATAATTGTCGTAAGCGAGATTCGGGCATCTGTCAAACATCTTGCGTTGTATAATGATTACCGCCACACTATCTTCGAAAAGCTGGGCCAATATCTGATCTGATGGGCAGAAAACAGCGTTGTAGAACCAATTTATTTCCGTACAATAGATTTTGGGACACATAACTTCATTTCGTCAATTGTTTTACGAATTTCAAGTTTAACTTATATACTTAAACCTAATTAAACAAAGAAAACGGCACCCTGATACATTGCCACCATTTAAATGCAACTTAATTTGAATGCTGGTTTAAAAATGCACGAAAACAAAGAGGAGAGAAATGTTTATACATATTTTATGTTTTACATACGCCACTCCTTCGACACTCCTTACTTAGAGCTTAAATTTAATCCTTATTCGACAAGGATCCATCCGTTAAAGAGCCTTACAATATCAGTTAATATGAATCAGTTTGGTTCATAACAGCATATGTTATGGCCTCAAAGAGTCTGTGGGCGTAAGCAAGAGCGACGTTATTCGATCGTGAGCCAAGAAAATACACTTCCAATATTATTTTTTTTTTTTTTATGATTGAAAGATTACTGGTAGCCCGGAGGCCTTTTCAGCTTCACCAGGACAGGTGGGCGAGCAAAGGCTCAGCCAGGAGGGGTGGGATTTGCTAACAACTGCCCGAGCGCCTCCGAAGGAGACCTAACAACTCAAGAGCAATTGCTTCGCGAATGAATCTACTACCGGATCGGAATCGCGACCCACTGAGAAGATCCGGCGAGAAAATCAGCGGGCTGATGGATGGGTTAGGTTGCACGTCGACCTCTTTGTCGAGTTCGACGAGTAAGGTTACCGGCGACGAGTACGGTTACCGAATTAATTTTGTATTCACGAATGAAACATTATAGGCAAAAGTTATTCTCAGCTTAACCAGTTAGATTCATTTTTTGGTTCGATTTCCGTGAATTCTGGTGATTGGCTCGATGGCGCAGTGGTTAGCGCTGCTCACTGTTGCGCCGAAGGTCGTGGATTCGATTTGCACATCGGGCAAACATTGTGCGATGAACATAAATTGTTTGCTTTTGTCTGGGTGTTTATCACCTATACAGGGCTACCTGAAATTCGATACATTCCCTTGGAGGGGTAAAAGTAGAGCTTATTTGCAATAGAATAGCTTTTATCTTTAAATACCGATTTTGGGCAAAAAAAACTTGAATATCTCAAAGAGTAATCAATATCGACTAGGGTCTACAAAGACAAAATCTATTGCAAATAAGCTCTAC